TGGGTAATCAACACTTATGGAAGGAGTACTACAAAACGCCTATAGGCAAAAATGAACAGTGATTTCGCTACCTCATTACCATCCAAATTTCATCGCACGGTCACAGTTGTCCGGTAGTGTTTCAATTTTCATGTTTTTTTTACTAATCGGAATTATCTGAAATTTTAAGCGTGTGTACATCTTAGTGAGGCGCACCTAATCAAAATATAAAAAATTAATTCGTAAAATATAAATTGATCAAAATACCCCCCGTTAATTTTCGGGGGTATTTTGGTCAATTTATATTTTACAAATTATTTTTTTCATATGTTTATTAGGTGCGCCTCACTAAGATGTACACACGCTCCAAATTTCAAGTAATTTGGATATGTAAAAAAAAAATGAAAATTGAACACTACCAGACAACTGTAACCGTACGATGAAGTTTGGATAATGATGAGGGTAGGCGAAATCACTGTTCATTTTCGCCTAAAAGCGTTGGGAAGAGTTTTCCAACACCTATATACAATTCAAATAATAAGGGTAAATTGCATGAAGTCCCTCACAGGCACAGCAAAGTGACATATACAACTCTTTTGCACAAGATATCAATAAAAGATTAGATGTATTCAACAACTGGAAAATCATATTGGAAGATCTACCTCTGACACTTTATTGACTAGTTTCTGGGCAGTCATTTCCATAGCAAGAATGTCTGCTACATGAAGGCCGGTACTATGCATTGCAATGAGAAGTGCAGTCACAAAATGAAGTAAAAAAACATCATGGTACACTTCAATAAGCTTGGTTATGTTGTGAATGCTTGTTTTGAAGCAACTGGGGCATTGCAGTTACCTCCGTACAAGGGACTACAAGATGTCACGATCAACCTACAGGTCCCTGAGTAACACGTAAGGTCCATGACCAAATGATCTCATTGAAAGTAAAGGACATGATTTCATACTCACTTTGGTAAATGACAAAGATAAGAGCATTGTTTCTTGCTCCCCTTGAGTAATTAGAGAGGAGCCAAAAAACACAACAGCCAGAAGTGCTATCCATTTTGTCAAGGCAACCAAACCATTCTAACTCTGAATATGCAATCAGCACATGAGGAAGCAAAGAACAACAAGCCTCACCTAAGGATAAGAAAAGAAAAGTCTCACTTGATGGTCTTCAAAGACATCATATCAAGATGCGGTGTACAAGGATCACTCATCTGCTGGCTGCCAATATGCACAGCAAGAACAGTGCATAGTCATGTAACAAACAAGTAGAAGGGACTTCCAATAACTGAAAAAATTGCCTGATAAGCTACTAAACTCTGTTATATTCAGATATCATATCAAGAAAAAGAAAAAATCCATCATATGCTAGCTCCATTAGGCCTAGCCTCCGAAGTAGTCAGTTAGCTTTACCAGACTTAGCCACAACTCTCTTCTTTATGTAAGATTTAACATTTCATGTGTCACTAATGAACTTGTGCTGGATGTAATAATCAAGGCAATCATATAATCTTGATACCGAAAAAATTAAATTACATTGCATAAATCCTACATCTAAAACTTGGACTGTCGTTTCAGATGAGTGCCGCCAACAGACTCATATACCCAAACAAAAATTCATTAACACATACTGACAATATCACAAACACGTGATCTGTCAGCCAGATGAATGTGAATTCATAACACTTCATTGAAAACCACTCGTAATGATCGTGTCCTGAATTTTGAAAATGTGCTCAAAGCTCCTACTTGAATCTGTGCAGTTTTAAAGATTACTTAGAGAATTTATCTTCTAATTTTATCCTTGGAAGCTCAATCATGTAAATCACCTCCAAAGAAAATGAGTTCTTCAAATCCATGTGGTTAAATAACCATTGCTTGCTAGCTGTAACAGCTGACTCTGTCCTCAATGCCATGGTCTTAGGGCTAATGTCTCCTCATAATCATTTCCTTCACTCCTATGTATAGCCAAGTACCACCGCTCCGGCCATTATGTACTCTGTCCTTAATGTGATGATCTTAAGGCTAATGTCTCCTCATACTCAATTCCTTTACTCCTATGTATAGCCAAGTACCACCACCCTAGCCATCATCTCAAGCATACGTTTGACTCTTACCTAAAGCAAGAAAATTTTTGTCCTTTAGAGGAGGACCCAGTGTCAGGTTTTACTTTGATGAAGTGCTTCAAGATCCCCATTTAACCTGCATAACTTAAAACCCCTTTACTGCTTCAAACATAGAGATCATGTGACACCTTTGCAATTGCATGGAAAGGCTAAGCCACAATCAGCAATAGTAAGATACTATTAGATCAAGAAGCAATGGATATTTTGGATAGGGATAGGGTAATGCAACAACAAACAAAGAAACTCTTCCTATGAATCAGTAAATTTAATTGGGAAATTAACAGAAAAATCCTTTTCTATGTTTTGAAATAAAAAGTAGACCTGTATATTTTATATTGGGTGCAGTTGGTATAGAGCCGAGGTTCTAAACAATCAAAGTAAAGCTGACCTTCAAATAGTGTCAAGAAATGTGGTTTCAGTCCTGAAATCTTTGTGATAGACTTAAAAATATATTTTCATTTTTAATTATAAAATTGAAACTTAAAAAATAGCATACATCAAGTAGATCTATGAAAACTTGAAAATTTTGAAAATTGATGGTCCAGAAATGCATTACAAGATGCACTATTTACAAAACTTGAAATTCATTTTTGTCTCATGTCCATATATCAAAACATCATTTTCTAGTGAATTTTTTTAGATGGGCTCTAATTTGATTGTTTTGAGCCTCGGCTCTCTATATAAACTTTTTCCTTTTATATTTCACATTTCTATCTCACTCTTAAATTTTAATTTTATTATTTTCCTATGTATCTGATTAAGCTCAAATTTTGAATATCCATACTTCTCACCATAACGAACTTGTCAAAGAACATCATTTTTCCTTGATCACTTGTGAATGCTTTGTTATTTACATTCAGTTTTGAAAAACTTTCTGGGTAGTTTTTTCAAATGTGAGATGGCATGAAGTATCAACTCCACAAATTTGAGCTTAATCTTATGTATATAAAAGAAAACACAATTAAAATACAATACACAATGTAAAATATAAAATATTGAGGATTAAATTTTTAGTTTTGATAATAAAATAGGATATTTTTTGTAACTTGAATATCCAATGCTTTCTACATTTCTTGTAACTAACAAAAGTTGCATACATTCTCTCTTTAGTATGCCAGAATTAAAGTGCCTGGCAATTCAAATTTGAGATTGGCATGCACATTTGGGCAAGCTGGCGGATTTACACTGTTCATATTATGCTCTCTAAATTACACATCATTACTACATTGCCTATGTTTTTTTTTTCTTTCTTTTATTTTGGAAAAGTAATCTATTAAAGTTTTATGATATCTTTCTTCTTAATCTATTTACATTTTGTTTCCACGCGACTTAAAATTTACTTCTCATGTTTTTTACTTCAGAGATACAGAGAGGACGAATAAACTACTATAATAGAAAGCGGAATGACTCAATCTCAGGACTATTCATTGAAATATCTACAGTCTTTTTGTAGGTGGCCATTATGCCCACCTTACCCACTTCCTCAGGGAAGCGGTTTACACAATTCAAATTCATTTACATGTGGTGGCCAGCCACACCCCAGGGCCTAGTCGTGGGCAGCCAGGCTGCCCATATCCTGAGCGGTTACACCTTGAGGACTCCAACCTCAGCCACATCCTAGGGTGAGGCCCATCCTTGTGCCAGCACCCCACCATGCACCATAACTGTTGCCCTCCACGTGCTAGCCGTTACACCATGTCCCACCTTGACTCAGTGAAGGTTCATTTGAATTTGAAGCTGACGCATGCCAGCTCACAAGCGCCTCTAAAGCCCACGGTTTGCTCTCTGTTGCCATGTTGTAGTGCACAGGCTCCTGCACCTGTGCACCTTGTTGTTGCCCACCGGTGACCCAAGGCTCCCACATTTCTCTCAAGTAGGTCTAGTCTTAAATCACTTCACTTTGAAGTGTGTCCATACCTAGCGTCCAAGCACAACTTTGACGCGTGCACCAGGTTGGTGTGTGAAGCCTGCAGAGCATAGCCTACAACAACAGAAGGCCCAAGAAAGGCCTCAGGCTAGCGGACCGATGTACCAGGAGAGGTTTGTGGGTCTCCCCCTTGACCAAGATGCATGCGTATTGCCTGATGTGCTAAGGGCTTGCCTGACCCCTTAGCCATCACGCTGCCATAGCCACCCTGCTCCATGCACCTGCCACACTACCCAGCAACATCACCCGCACAAGTCTACTTGCACCAGGTTGCCTTCACCGCACTAGCCAACTATCCAGCATTTTGCTCAAAAGGCTGCATGCGCCATCCGCCACAGGCCGCCTTTTACTGCAAGCACCAGGTTGCACGTATATCGTGCACCAGGTTGTCGGCACCAACATGGGGCTTAGGGAAAAGGAGCCTGCACACGATGGTTATGGTGCATGGTGGGGTGTTGGTGCAAGGATAGCCTCACCCCAGGACGTGGCTGAGGTTGGAGGCCTCAAGGTGTAACTGCTCAGGACCAGACCCTAGGGTGTGGCTGGCCACCACGTGTAAATGACTTGGAATTGTGTAACCGTCCCCCTGAAGAAGCGGTGAAGGTTGACATATGGCCACCATGAATGGTGGGCAATTACGCTATGCTAGCACGAAACGTGTGTGCATGGGCAGCCAATGGGTGCAAGTGCAGCCCATGTGGTGGGCGGCTAGGTGGCTGACCCAGGGTACATGGAGGATAGGTGGCCTCCACGCAGCAGTCATGGTGGTGCATGATGGTTATAGCAGTGTGCCATTGTAAATGTGAGTGAGCTTGGGGGCTATAAATATCCCTTGCCCGGGCCAGACTAGGAGGACCATGGCTATATACACTTGGTAATTGTATAGTGAAGACACTAGGCTGAGGCCCTATGGCTATTGTTGCTTTGTGTGACCCTTGTGAATGCGTGAAATTGCTCTAACTCTCTCGAGTGCATGGTGTGTGGCAAGGTTGGCCTAGCCTTAGTTGGTGTGGACCGAGGCATAGCATTGCACGATGTTAAGCGAAAAATTGACCCCGCATGAATAACCTGTATACCCTCAATTTGGGTCACGGGCAAATATGATAAGCAACATGCCAAAGTTGATACTATTAGTACTTCACATTTATCCTGAGAAGGCACACTAATTTAAGGACACTCTTAAGATTGCTCCAAATTTGGCCTGGGTGAAGTGTCCACTAAATGGCTACTAGGGGAGACCACAACGATTAGATCAGGTGCATTCATATGTGAAGATAACACAACAATGCTACATTAAAGCCCAAGAAATAGTGGAAATGGCTCAACTCTTTCATCTGGAAAGAGCCCGGGCTTAATTGGTTCGCGCTTGATGATTTGCAGCGCTACGTCCTAGGCTCCATTCCTACAAGGGTAGGGGCCCTCTCCCCACTGACTCACCCAAAAAAAAAAAAAACTTTCATCTGAAAGAGAATTTGGAAAATATTTTTCAACTAAGAGGTAGCACAAAAGGTTTTCCCATAAGTTCCTGCATCATCCACATTTACCAATAAAATCTTCTAATGTTAGTGCAAGACAACCCCAGAGTCTATCGTGAAGGACATTCCAATGGACCTAAGAGAAGAAAGTTCAAAAATGGAAATGAAGGCTGAAAACTTAATGCTATTACAAAACAAACAGAAAAAGTGGACTTGGTCTTATGTTTCCCTGAAAATTGTTGGCATTTCTGCTCTGAAGATAACATATTAGATACGACTGCGCGCTAGAGAGAGAGAGAGAGAGAGAGAGAGAGAGAGAGAGATCAGATAACCAACGAAAAAAGGGTACAAACTACTAAACTTAATGACAACTAAATTATACAAGCAGAACGAAAACCCAACCCAAAAACGACAATAAGCGAACAATA